TTTCTATTTCTCATTGCCATTATTTATATTTCTCCTCCCATAACAGATTGTGAATTCCTCAATGGCAAAAGGTCCAGCTACATCTCGACATTCCCTAAAGTGCCACATGCAGAGGGACACACAATGAATATTTGATGCCAGACAAAAAGATCATTCTTACTATGAGGGATAGTATGTGTATGCATATGATGCCATCAGAGTGGTCTAAAATACTATGGGACTCCACAGTTGGGTTCTTCCAGTTATTGGTCATCTCCACCTGCATGACACAATGCCTAATGGAGTGGTCTACCAAACTATGCGAGATCTGGCTGCTGCCTACCTTTCCTGCCTCATTGCTAGCCTCTCTGCACTTTACATCCTTCAGCCAACTTGTATGTTCAAGGAGCAGAGGGAAATTCAAATTTATTGCTGTACACTACCTTTTCACTTGCTCATCCCTGTGTCACCTCATAGAAGAGACTTGAACATGCAAATAAAAGTAACCCTTCCACAGCTATCCCCCAACTCTGTCAACCTCTATCATATCACCCTTTTTATTTGCTTGATAGGATGCCTAGTCTTTAAAATTATTTATTTGATAATGTTTCTCACCATCTTCCAGCATATAAGCCCAGCATGCAGGTAACCTACCTGTCTTGATCACTGCTGTATCTCCAGTACTCAGAGTATAGTAGGGGCTCAACATATGTCTGGTGGTAATGGAACACAAAGGCCAATCCTTCCTTTAGTTATGCATATAAAAGAAAAAGCTTTGAGCAGAAAGCCCATCTAATTGTGTAGTGAAGCTCAACCAGGCCCATTAAAGGATAACCAAAGAAGGCACAAGAGGGAAAAATCCTGCTTGCAGACCCAGCCAGAGTTGTAATCGAGCCTTTTCCTGCCATAGGTAGTGAGCGAAGAGTACTTCCGGCGGTGGGTCAGTTTCCGGCGTGAAGCGGAGGCATCGCTTGACAACCGAGATGAGCATCTCATGGAGACCGCTCAACTACTGGAAAATCACCTCACCTTGCTCGGTATCTAAAAATAAGTCATTATTAAATGAAAAAGGGAATGCTGCAAGCTGGAAAGGGTGTTCTTGGCCCTGATTCTGGCACTGCTGCAAATAGGTCTCAATCAGAAGGGTTCCTCCGGGTGCCGCTCCAGCTATTTGGCCCAAAATGGATGCACCAAAACCTAAGGCAGACTCCACACACAGCTCCCTGAGGATGCCCTGGGAACATTTCTGCACACCCCACTGGCAGATGGCAATGAAGTTGGCTCCTTCTCCAACTACAGCACACACCTTCTTTCATTTAAATGTTTACTGAGCACCAAGAAGCACTGGATATTGAGGCTACAACAGAGAACAAGAGACCCTCCCATCCCACAGCCCAGAGCTTAGTGAGGAAACTAGATGATTGGAATTTGAATAGAGTGTGATAAGAGGTAGCTGAAAGGTATACCAGGTAGAGTGAGAGTACAAAGTAGGAGGTGCCAACCTTGCCCTGTGCCTGGGGAGACCTAACTGTGAAGGTAAGGAACTGAAAGAGAGAGGAAGATTGGGTCAAGAAAAGATGCAGAGTGTTTCACGTGTAGCAAAGGGCATTAAGCAAAGGCTGGGAAATGAGAGAGGATGAGCCAGCTGGAAACTCAAAAGAGGTCTGCTGTGACTGGACCACAGTGTAGGTCATGATGAGAGGTGAGAGAGGTCAGCAGGGCTAGATTAGGAAGGACTGTGTAAAGCATATGCTAAGCATTTGAAGAGGGCAAGAAAGCGAAAGTGGGAACAGATTTGTGCTTTACAAAAATTACTTTGGCTGCTGCTGCTGCATAGAAATTAGATTGATAAGAAAAAGGGAAAATGAGAAGCATGGGGTCCAGCTAAGAGACATTATTTTAATTGTTTTGGAGGAAAAGGATTGCCACGGGGGAATGGAGAAGCTTTATTTATCAGGATTAATCTTCACATACCTCATGAACAAGATCTAGGTAAGACAACGCCCAAAAAGTATGCACTGGCCATGTGGCAAAAAGTCTTCTTACATGTCAATAGGCACAGCTGGGATGAGGGGCAAGTCCTGTCCTTCTCATGACCTTGCCAGGTGTCCAGGGACACATCCCTGAACCCATCTGAGCCTTAGTTTGTCCTCCGGATAAGCTACACTCTTCTCAAATGACCAGTAGTGGTGCGAGGGGAAAGACCCAAGGGTGTTATAAAAATGATGGTGGTGCCTTTACATATAAAAGGTAGCAATGAGATTTAGTAGCCTAGCAAGAAACCTGTAGTATTATTAGCTGTGGGCCCCAACTCAAGGCAATTCCATGCACAACAGAATGAAATACTGACTGGTCCTGTACTATACCCATGACTGGTTGTAGATCAGACAATTTTGTGATCTATCAGATTTTCATTGACTGATTTCAGAAGTAGATTGCCCTTTCTTCTTAGCTCATCTTAGACTAGAAGCTCTGCTGAAACTTGTCCAGCCTCTTAGTAACACGTTTCTGCTGATGGACAGGTGGCGGCTATGCATGAGGTACATTGGCCAGGAATTGAACCTGGTCTTCCTCATGGAAGGCAAGAATTCTACCATTGAACCAATGCTTCAGAGGTGGCAAGTCAAGGAGAAAAGTTTGCTCCCTCCCCCTTTCAGTCTTTTGTTTCCTGTGTTTGGGCTGGCAAGGCCTTTGCTTGCTACCTCATAAAGGCCCCCTTTAAAGCTGACCATAAGCACTTATTTTAACAAGGACCAGAGGTGGCTGAGAGCAGATAGCTCTATCTACCACAGGAAGCCCCCCCAAAAAAACATTGTCCCAGTTGGAGTGCCTAGTTCTCTTCTGCTTTTATGGAGGAGGCTTTGTTTCACACAGACCCTTGTCTCAGTCAATAAGTGTTCTGTCAGCTAATTCTGCATGAAAAAGAACCTGTCAGAACCTGCCAGCTTTCCCTGGCTAGGAAAGGCTTTCAAGACCTTCCTGTTTCATTTTCTCTTTCACACAAATAAATGTGTTTTTCCTCCTCTCTCCTTCACTCTGCCTCACTTTAATATAAATCAGCTTCAGAATCTCACCTTCCAGGCTAACCCTTGGAGGGAAAAATGAGGAGGGAGCCATCACCTTTTATGGGGTTGTTTACCTGCACATTTGGACCTGAAATACAAAACAGGCACATTTCAGGAAAGAGAGATTATTTTTCTTCCCTCAGGGTGGCTTGGTAAGGAGAGGCCTGGGGCTGGGAAGAGATTTCATCTTGCAACCAAGTAACTGCCATGCCGTTAAAAAAGCTGCATTGCATTCACACGAAGTCTCTTACTATGAAATTATCTTTTCAATATGCATCCAATGTAACTGCTTTGCCAACCTATTGTCACTCTGGATTATTAAAAGAAATGAAATGCCTTGCTCCTTCCCAGAATAAAATGAGTGGCCATTAATCTGTGGCCTGAAGTGAATCTCAATTTAGATGCAGATTTATTTTTGTTTAATCACTTGGCAACTGTGCAATACCAAAAAAAAAAAAAAAAAATGCCATCAAGTGGATTCCAATTCATAGTGACCCTATAGGACAGAGTAGAATCCCACCTGGATTCCAAGGTTGTGATATTTATGGAACCAGATTGCCATATCTTCCACCCATGGAGTAGCTGGTGGATTTGAACTGCCAACCTTTCAGTTAGCAGCCAAGTGCTTACCCACTGCATTACTAGAGCTCCTTAACTATGAAATACTTGGATATATAGTCATCAGGGTTGGTGCAAAGCTTAAGATCATTCAAAAAAATGAAAGACATGCATGCTCAATTTCCCAAAAAAATATCTAAAAAAAACCCCATGAATCCCTATTAATTCTGCTGTAGAGCAGATGCAGAGAAAAATGTCAATCTCTCCACTTTTCTCCCCTCCACTGTGCCAGTTCAGGCCACCATCTCCTTGGACTCTGACTCAGCTTCCTAAATCACCTTGAACCTCATCCTGCTCCCTCCAATCTCCAATCCATTTCTAGAGTAATCTTCTTAAAACTCCAAACTGATCCTGTCACTCTCTGACTTAACACCCTTTAATAGCTTTCTTTGCTACCAAATAAAATCTAAATCTCTTAATGCCCTGACAAGACTCTGCATGATCCAGCCCTCGCCTTCCTCTCTGGCTTTCCCTCTTACGCCACTCTACCTCTGGGCCTTCACACAGGCTGATCCCACTACCTGGAATTTTCCTCCTCACCTCCCTCTTTGCTTGATCTGTCAGGCACTTTCTCAACATGGCCCTCTTTGACCATCTAGATGAAGTTTCGATCTCCTGTAGCAAGTTTACATGGTACTCAGAATGTGTCTCATGTTGCTCAGTTACAAAACCTTATTCAACAAGCTCTTGAGCTTGGAGAGGGTAGGAACCAGCTCTGTCTATTGCACTGTACTCAGCACAACCTAGCACTTGGAAGATATTTAATACACATTGCCTGACTTGAGAGGGCCTTGAGAAATTAACCAACTACCACTTGACCATAAGTGTGATCACTGGTGTCTTTAATCACTCCAGGAGCCACTGGAATCGAAGACCGGCTGCAGGAAGGAGTTCCAGATACAATTGCTGCTCTGCAGGAGGCTGGGATCCAGATCTGGGTCTTGACTGGAGATAAGCAGGAGACAGCAGTCAATATCGCCTATTCCTGCAGACTGTTAGATCAGACCGACACAGTTTACAACATTAATACGGAGAGTCAGGTGAGGCCAAACTAGATACCAGATGTCTAAGTACGGGACTGCCTCCTAAGCAACAAGAGAAAGACTCATTGGTGGGATTTAGGGACTCACAGAAAGCACCTCTTCCCCAAAATATCACTGTCACAGCTGGGAAGGCCCTGGAAGTCATCCTTCATCTCATCTCATAAATTATTGACCATGTTCTTTTTTTTATTATTAATTCTAGCATTATTTAGAAGAAATGTCTACCTTTACCAAATTCCATCCTTGGTCCAACCTTCCCATTTTACAGATGCAGAAACTGAAAAACACTAGAGCTAATGCACTTGACCAAGTTTACCCTACTAGTTTCTGCTACACATAAGTAAGTCTAGAACTCTGTTTTCCTGCTTGGCATTACACCACACTTATGACTCAAAGAACCTCAATTGTCAGTTTTGTACTACTTTGGATTAATGCATCCACTGAAAATTGAAATTATTCTGAGTTAAAAATTTCAGCTCCAAATTGCATGTCAAAATGGCCTGCCGAATAGTAGAAACCTGAAGATAACAATACCCAAAAACAGTGTATTTTGATGGGATAGGAGAGAGAAAGAGATAAGCAACATTTTAAAACTGCTATTTTCAATCAGAACAGATTGTGAATGGCAGAGATCAAGATTTGAAGAGAATATGAAAGGTCTGAAGAAGCATTATTTAAAGCTATAATAAGATTTTGTATTTAGGAGGAAAAATCTACTTTTACAATGTAAACTATAGAAAAGTAAAGTTCCACCTCTTCTTGGTGATGAATATGGAAGTAAGCACTGAGATGTGTGCTTTTATACTTAAGTACTCGATTACTAGTTGGAAACTTGGCAGTTTGAACCCACTTAAAGGCATCTTGGAAGACAGGCCTGTCAATCTGCTTCCAAAAGGTCACAGCCTTGAAAACCCTATGGAACGGTTCTACTCTGCGTACATGAGGTGCCATGAGTCAGAATTGAGGACAACTAACAACACTGAAAGGGAACTGGGATTAGATTAGAGTAGGATATTAACTAGGAAAACATTGTATCATGGGGATTAGAGGAGAGTACTTGGAGATCTAGGACATCTCATGGAGAAAGGATGGAGAAAAGGAACATGGGAAAGAGCAGCACAGAAAAAGGAGGCAGGGAGGACACTGAGAATATAGTCATCGAGGCTGGTTTTTTGTTTTTTGGTTTTGTTTTTTGGTTTTTTTTCTAAGGCTGATCTAGAACTAGAATAGAAGCTTGGGAAGGTTTATATTTGTTTTTTATCCAAATGAATGAAGCAACTACATACACATATTTTTATGATAAGAAAAAGGCAATTTGTACTATGAAAAGCACCTGAGGTCCTTAAGATGGATTGGAAAAATCATCTGCTTTCTTGTCAGGTGCACAGATTATGCTATGATTCAGCTAAACCCCAATGAATTTTCAAAATGAAAATAATATTAGAGAAATCTTTTACTTTAATATTATGCTTAGGAAAGAAAATAATTGGCAGCTTGCTTGAGCGCTTGATGCCTGTCATAGTGTTGATGTCTGCCTGCCCCATGTGAAATGGAAACATGGTTTATCGGGTTCATTCCATGACAGGTGATTCCTGAAGGAGGACATCTGTAAACCTGTGATTTAGCCCACTCGGTGATGGAGCGAGCTTCTGTCAGTTCTGTTCAGTGTAATGTCTTCTTGTAGGAAGCTGAAGAGGTTACTTGATTAATTAGCCAAAGGCTCCTAAGAAACAGCTCTCATAAAGCTATCCAAGACCTTCCAAGATGGTACTTAAACCCCAGGCCATGCACCCCTGGACCCACTAAACTGCTCAATTATTATTTTTTTTTTATCATATCCACACCTGGGAATAGACAGTAGGTACATAAATATGTTAAGCTAGAGAGTAGGGTAATCCATCCTAAACTTAGATTTATTTAAACCCCCATTTAATGTAATTGTATACTCAATGTATGTCTTCTCCAAGGGTTTCAGTTTGCCTTATTCACTATTAATTGATTTAGGGCTACTGTCTCTTTGTTGGGAGCTCTGGTGGCATAATGCCTAAGGCATTTTGACTGCTAACCAGAAGGCTGGCAGTTCAAACCCACCAGCCACTCCTTGGAAAAAAGATTGGGCAATCTACTTCCATAGTGATACTGCCTCAGAAACCCAAAGAAGGGTCGCCATGAGTTGGATCCGACTTGACGGCATTGAGTTTGGTTTTTTTGGTTTGGCCTCTTTGTTATGTATCTTAAAGTACAATCAAGTTATGGGACTTATCTAGATCTCAGAGTTCTCATCCACAATTGAGGGGATTGCTAACCCGTCATTAGAAATGCTAATCTGTCAAAGAATTTTAGAAGGAGCTATGTTATTAGATGGGAGCCCTAATGGCCCAGTGGTTAAGCACTCAGCTGTTAACCAAAAGGTCATGTTCAAATCCAGCAGTTGCTCCACAGGAGAAAGATATGGCAGTCTACTTCTGCCAAGATTTCAGCCTTAGAAACCCTGTGGGGCAGTTCTACTCTGTATTATTGAGTCACTATGAATTGTAATCAACTTGATAGCAGTGGGCTTAGATTTGTCAATTACTTTTAAGAAGATTACAGGGGATATTTTTGGTTTGAGGTTTAAAGATTATCTCAGGCCAATAGTTCCAGTGATTCATTCAAGCTTCATGGCCAGGAAGTCTAGAGTCCACTAGATGTTGAAATTCTGTACTGAATTTTCCTACTTTTGATCAGGTTTTGTCTATAGAATCTTGGCAAAATGTTCAGTAATGGTAGCCAGGCACCATCCAGTTCTGATATTATGGCAATGGAGACAGTTGTCCATGGAGGCAATTAGCCACATATTCTATATCCTCATTCTATGCTTGACTGTCCTTTCTCTGTTGCTCCAGGTAAACAGAAAATAATTGTTGTGCCTTGGATGGCCATTTGCAAGCTTTTAAGCCCCCAGGTTCTATGTAACAAACTAGGAGGCAGAACAGAAGTACTAAATGGTCAATGCATGTTTTTGTTTGTTTGTTTTTATTGTGCTTTGGGTACAAGTTTACAGAGCAAAAGTTGTTTTACATTCAATAGTTCATGACCTGATTACCATCCCCAATCCTAACCCACTCCTCCCCTCCCTTCCCTATGACCCCCCCATGCCCTTCTTAACTATACACTCTTGTCTGTCCAGCCTTCCCTACATGTGAATGCTGTCCCTCTGATTCCCCATGGCCAATAGCTCCAAGGGGTGTATCTCTACAGAGTAGGTGGGTGCATTGCCCTGAATTGGGCGTTCTGCGTGTAAGTCATCCTATTTTGGGGCTGAGAGCCAGACCGTGAAAGTGGGTTCTATCCTAGGTCCAAAGGGTATCCTAGGGCCATAGTCTTGGAGGTCCCACTAGACTCTGTACAACCAGTAATTCTGGTCATTATTGTGTTTTTGAATTTTGTTCCACATTTTTCCTCCCACTGTATCCAGGATCTCCAGTTTTGATCCCTTCCCAAGTGGTTGACATTGGTAGCCAGGCACCGTCTAGTTCTTCTGGTCTCAAGGCCCTGATTGTTTCCAAATACCCTTGATTTTCTTCACTCTTCTTCACTTCAGATAAGAGGAGACCATTAGCTGCATCTTAGATGGCTGCTCAAAAGCTTTTAAGACCCCAGTCACTACTCACCAAAGTAGGTTGTAGAACAAGATTTTTAGGTACTATGTTGTGCCAATTGAGCCCAGTGTCCCCCAATACCATGGTCCTAAGTCAGGTAGGCCAGTGGTTCTCTCTCCCAAGGTGTTTGGCTGTCTCTGAGGGATTACTCCAACTCTATCTTCCATTGAGTCATTATGTTTTTTACTGAGGAGGCCACAGTTCAAGTAGTAGTGATTCTGCCTCAACTACTAAGTTGGATAACCTTGGGAGAATTACTAAACAGCTCATTGTTTGCATTTCCTCATCTCTAAAATAAGGTTGATAATACTTGCCCTACCACAAACGAATGTGAAATGACCTGGGGTAAATAGAAAACACCATACCAGTATGACATGTTGCCATTATTTACCATCACACAGGTATTATTAATTATCTTGCACCATCCCTGCATCAGTCCCCGTATTGCTGAGCTATATCCACTCTCAATTCCAAGCAGTCTTTATTATCCTTGTCAGTAATTTGGTTTCAAATAAATATTTCTTTCATGGTGTTTCAACTATTGCAAAGAAATGTAAGCAGTGAAGAAACCATCTTACTAAAGGTTAGAGATTTTAATATATGTTTCCTATGCTGTTACTGATACTAAATTTATTATGATTCTTTACAGGAAATCTGTGAGTCCATCCTCAGCTGTACACTAGAAGAAGTAAAGCAATTTTATGGACCACAGAAACCAGACCGCAAGCTCTTTGGCTTCGGCCTGCCTTCTGAAACACCATCAACTACCTCAGTAGCTTTCATTCCAGAAGTTGGATTGGTCATTGATGGGAAGACATTGAATGTCATATTCCAGGGAAAGCTGGAGAAGAAATTTCTGGAGTTGACCCAGTATTGCCGATCTGTCTTGTGTTGTCGCTCCACCCCACTCCAGAAGAGTATGATAGTCAAGCTGGTGCGAGACAAATTGAGCGTCATGACCCTTTCCATAGGTACCCATCATGCTGAGATGTGGGTGGCAGCTTGGAAAAGGCCTGGCAGAGGTGGGAGGTGAAGTATCAAAGTCCAGATGATTAGGCAGAAGGTCACTGTCTGAGAGAGTTCAAAGTGGCAATCAAGGCATGGCAGCCAGGAGATGAAGCAGACACTAACTAGAGTTGGAGAGTGAATCAAAGTTCTAGAGAAGGAAAAGGAAGGAAATGTCAGCTAAGGAAAATTCAGTATTTAGATGGATGTCATAGCCAACAGCGCTTGGAATTCAAAAGGTCCATGTAGCTCAAGAAACGTTACCACCAACAATATACACTCAGGTCACCTGAGTATATATTCTGGAATGCAGACCATCTCCTCCTCAATATTTAACATATGACCAAGAACTATGAGGCTCATTTCTGTAGCTAGATTTTGCCTGTTGGCCCACAACACCTAAAATATTTACTATCTAGCCCTTTACCGAAAAAGTTTGATTCAACCCTGGTTTGAATCATGTTTGCTAATTTAGTATTCTGCTGAGTGTGGGTAACTAGTGGGGAGATTTTAAGAGTGGTTTATTTTTGTATGCTCATTCTTAAACACAAGTCCCAGCACAAAGTATATTCTCAATAAATGCTGACTAGTTGATTGATGGCACAGTGATTTAATTGCTTGTTTGCTAACTAAAAGGTCACCACTTTGAACCCACTAGCTGCTCTGCAGGAGAAAGATGTGGCAGTTTGCTTCCATAAAGATATATAGCCGTGGAAACCCTATGGGACTGTTCTACTCTGTCCTATAGGGTTGCTATGAGTAAAAATTGACTCAATAGCAATGGGTTGGGTTGGGTTGGGTTGGGTTGGTTTGGTGATAAAGAATTGCTCAGAGAGGACCCAACTTTGATAATGATTGAGGCAGAAGAATAAAACTGTACTAACTTAAAACCTTCCAGAAACTCCCAAACCTGATTTATAAGAATCATCATCATCTAGACTCCATTGACCTTCCAACCACATTTCCCACCATAGCCACCTTCCCTCCCCAGCATTCAGCCCTCCACATTCTAGCCAAATAGAACTGCTTAATGGTATTGGGGGACACTGGGCTCAATTGGCAATAGAATCTTTGGCCATATCTTTTCTGCACAAGCTACTTCCTCTACAAAACACTCCTCACATTCCAACGTACCCTTCATTTCTTCTGAGATCTTCCCCAGTACCCAGCACTCATAGCTCCAAAATATTGTTAGACTATACTATGATGCCTACCCAGCAGAATGAAATTTCCTTGAGTACAGGGACAATGTCAGTCTTATTCACCACTTCTTCACATGCCTAGCACACAGCAAGTACATAGTAAGAGTTGCATCCACACAGGGACATTCTTCCAGATTATGCAGCCTCCCTTCCTCCTATACAGACATGGAAAGACCATTCCTTTCCTGGTATTTGAAACAAGAGGTCTATTCTACATCGCGTTTTTGTTTGTTTGTTTGTTCGTTCGTTTTTCCCCAGGCCTTCAAATAAAAGCAGTTGAAAACAAAAAAAGGGCCAGAAAAATATGTAGAGAGCAGACCTTTAGAAACGCATCCTACTTGTGTCCTGAATTGTATTCTTTGGAAATTCAGACACACACAAGGCCATAGCCCAGACTGATTCCCTGAGGTGGGAGATTGGCTTCAATCCCATAGCAACAGAAACAAAACCAGAGGGTGAAAAATAGCACAATCCTCATGTGTACTTCCCCTGGCTCACAAACAAAAGAGGTTAAAGTTTGAATTTGTTCTGCCAGGAAAATTAAAACTATGCACTGCTATGCTATCAAGAAAAAAATGGTTATAAAAAATATAAAAAGTACATACAGAGACAAAATTTTTAAGATTTGAAATAATGAATTTGTTGACACATAAGTAGCAAATTAAACTCTCTTCCCCTCAATTCCATATTTGCTTTGATGAATAATATAAATTTAATTAGAGCTTATTATGAGAAGCTACTGGTTAAAGAGATAGGCCAAAGGAGAATGAAAATAATGTAGTCTAGAACAGAGGCTAACAAACCATGGCCTGAAGACCAAATCCAGACCACTGACTATACAGGTACTAATAATGGCGTATATCTTTAAATGTAAATATATAAAAGACTACTAGTCTTTCAACAAGAACACTGCTGAGTTTTGCTTCTTGGACCACAAAGCCTAAAATATTCACTATCTAGCCCTTCACAAAAAAATTTTGCCAATCTCTGGTCTAGAAGATAAACCACTGGGATGAGATGCAGGGTCAGGCTTGTGAGGAAGGCTTCACTATGTAAAGCTGTGCTGTCCAATATTGTTGCCAGTCAGGGGCTATTTAAATTTAATTAAATTTAAACTTGTTTCCTCTGTCGTACTACCCACATTTCAATAACCATGTGTGACTAGTGACTTCTGTTTTGAACAGTGAGGTACAGAATATTTCCATCAATGCAGACAGATCTATTTGATAGTGCTGGTATAAAAGGAGGCTATGTGTGTACATGCATGAATGTGTGAGTGTATGTATTTCTATGGTTTACTTTCAATCTCTTAGAACAACTCAGTTCATTGAATGGAAACTCAATGGGACTAAATGTACCTCCAACCAAAAGATTAGTTAGTCCCATATTCCTATCATCAGAAAGAAAATTGACTGTTTTCTCCTTGGACACCATTGACAACCTCAAGAGATTGGCTGTCCAAACATTGCAGTTGTCTTGATATGGTCATTGTTTCAAATTATACTAAGTTAGGGAAATAATCCTATTGTTTGAATCAGAGAAATCTGAGTTCTAGTTTTATGAATTCCTTCACTAGCTAGATTTCCCTTGACAAGTCCTTAAATTGTTCTAGAATTCTCATCTTCCATGCAGGAGACCCAGGTTCGACTTCTGGCCAATTCAACACATATGCAACTACCACCTATCTTTCATTGGAGACTTCTGGGTTGCTATGATACTGAACAGGTTTCCACAGAGCTTCCAGACTAAGGCAGACTAGAATCTTCCATTGCTCATCAGTAAAGTCCATTGTAATATTTGTGAAGGCCTTTTTTGGAAAACTGTAAAAAAAAAAAAAAAAACTC